TCTAGTCGTTTTATGAGCTATCAAAACTTTAAATACCTCTCTCAGCTACCAGAAGCTGTGTGCTTTGAGAGCTTTTCCCAAAACAAAGAATATCTACAAGCACATGAAGCAATTTCTGTTTTCTAAAGACATCAAATTTGAAGCACTTTAAAGCCTTTACTTGTACACAAAGCTTTGAATGATATTGTGGGTTCAAATTTATTTTGTAGCTCTTGAACTGTTTTGTGTAGAGTGTTATCAATGAAATTTTCTTCATCTGCTTTAGCCATCTGAATTTTTTGGCATCTTAGCACAACCTAATCTCAGGTTTTGGAAGGGAACATGAAAAAGACAATTTAATTCCATATATCTTATGATATCCATTTCTTGATGCTCGAAGAATCATAGATGGCCAATGTAGATTCCAAATTTTGTCTGCCATCTCTAAGTGAGAGGAATTCCGGTAGTCACCCAAGACAGACCATTCATTTCAATTCACGTGGCTTTTGGAGCAAATTTATGTTTTTCACTTTGCTGTCCATGAAACACACAAGCTTTTACAGGGTTTGTGACACGTTATGAAGAAAATCAAGCCTCATATCTGTACATTCATTTATGGCACTAGATCTTCTTTGGTAAATTAGATTTCAAAATATGAAAAGTATAATACCATCTATATTACCAGCACATTAAGCCTTAATGACATTAACATGACAAATGAGACAGCTATTTACTATTTTCTTTCTAATTTCAGTTTTTTGAAATATCACAAGAGGACTTGATATCTGACAGCAGGAAACAAATACATGTTCTCACTGGTGTTCTTCAAAGACTTTTTAGTATTTTAAAATTTTAATCTCCTTAACGTTTTGCCCTATCTAAAATAGTGATCTCTCAGAGTTCTTTGCTTTAATTAATTTTATGAAAGGTATCATCTTGAACTTTCACTTTTGTGACATATGTATAAAATAATTTAATTTGACTAGCAGTTGAGAAGGCAACTTGTGGACATTTCAAAATGCTCAGCTTTTCTATTTGATCCAGGAGATAATCTCTATAGCTCTTACCTTAAAGCAACAAATTACTTAAAATTCAAAACCCATGTGCTTCAGAAGTGGCCTGGGAATTCATTTTGTTATCATCTTCGATTCTTGTTATAGCAGTCTAGGAATTGAGAAACGCGTTAGCTTAACCTTAGGGAAATGCATATATATGCTAAAGGCTGAAAGAAAGCAGAAGGCTAGGGAGATAATGAATACACTAAAGGGCATGTTTTTTCAACTATATCTCAGAAGCGTTTTGTACTTTGAGATTTCCTGCTCACAGATCAAACTGGTCAACAGACCAGTTTATTTTATGTAGAAATCTGTCAATCATCCACATTCTGGCTTATGCATGGATACAGAACAAAAAGAGACTCAAAGAAACTACTGCTATTTTATCTAATGTCATCTTATATTTTAGCTATTTTATGCTAATTGTCATAGAGCTGGGAATATGCAAAAGTAATTCAGTGATGATCAACATTATTTTTAAAAACTCTTGTGTTTCTGACACTAAGAAATTGCTTACTGATTTTTGCACAGTGCAGCTTTTTATCTGTTGGGTATCTCTGAAGCCATGATTAGATAAATAGGTACAAAATAAAGCTACTTTCCAGTTGATCATGCAGGGCATCAAACTTGGATTTATTGTATTATTTCAATTTTTCAGGAAACATATGCCTTGGTTATTTGTTAATGTTGACACCCCAGTCATATTTAGATTGTCTTTCAATTTCTTTTTGCATCCAATGCTATTAGAATGAGGAGTTATCCTTCACATAGATATTATTTGATTTTTATTTATTTTTTTATTTTTTTAATGATCATCTTCTGAAGTATTTAATGAACCAGAATTTCAGATTCTACTGCTAAGAATCTTTTATACTTTTTGGTCAGGGAATATGGAATGCAGTGGCAGCATAGCAAGCAAAAAAAAAAAAAAAAAAAGGCAACAATTAAAGCCCTATGAGGTCTTGTTATAGTATTTATTTAGAGAACATTCCTTCTGAGCCACTAAATTCATCTTTGATTTCAAGTCAGCTCAAGAATTCTCAAAAGGGTGGCAAAGTTTATAACTACAGTGAAGAATTAAATTATTCTTTCTAAATTTCTACTCATACTCTTATTCTAGGTATTTACACAGACTGAAGAAAGAAAGAGGAAAAAAAAAAGAAGAGAATTTTGTCCTTAAAAAAGACATCCATATGATTAGAAAGCATTGGGTTCTGACATTTGGCTTACATAATTTTGTTGAGTTGAATTCAAAACAAATTAACAAACTACTCAAAATCAATTTTTTTTTTCATTAATAAAGTTAATGTGATTTTGCAGGAAACATGAACTACAGTTGGCTAGCAGCCTTTTTGTCAATAAAGCTGAAAAAGATTATGTAATAGCAATGTAAGATCTGTTAGTGGAACAAACACCTTTCTGAGTTGTGTCTCAGATTTGTGTGATTCTCTTCTGACACGTTTTGCAGTATTATTCTTGTTTCCTATTCTGTTACTTTCCTTCCAATGTATGTCTTACTGTTCTGTTTTCTACAAAGTTTTCTGAATAAACATTCAAAAGTAAAGTTCTTTGGTGAGAACATACTTTCATAAGTTTTTGTTTGTGAAAAAGATCGTTCCAGCATTTTCAGAAATAAACAAATTAAAAGAAAAGAAAACAAAGAAAAGAAAAGAAAAGAAAACAAAGAAAAGAAAAGAAAAGAAAAGAAAAGAAAAGAAAAGAAAAGAAAAGAAAAGAAAAGAAAAGAAAAGAAAAGAAAAGAAAAGAAAAGAAGAAAAGAAAAGAAAAGAAGAAAAGAAAACCCAGAAATTTGGTGAAATTCTGACCTGAGAGAAAAAAAAAAGTCATTCTAATTTAAACCAGAAGATAAATTGAAGTGTTCAGACCACGAATACCCATTGCCAGAATCTAATTTGACCTCAAATATACCATGTAATTTTATCCATGGATTCCATATCAGTTGTGTATGGAATTAAAAGAAAAATTATAAAGATGCCCAATCTTGATGTGTAGATTTTAAATGACAGAGCATCTATCCCATCTGTTGATAAACTGTTCTAGTTATTAGTTAACCTTCATTCTTAAGAATGTGTGCTTTTGCTTAGTTTGTCTAACTCCAGTTTGCATCCACTTAATCCCAAGATTCCTTTATCTAAAGGATTAGAGAACTGTGTAGGAACAGACAGGTGAAACACTGCATTAGTTTCCTTCCTCCTGTGTGACAGATATTGATTAACGCCCATTGGTAGTGGCAGTTTATACTGTAACAGATCTAGTAAAGTTTCATTTGGCAGTTAATTCCTCTAAGGTTGCGTGGAGTCTTAATCTACAGCTTGTGATATAAAATTCTTTTAGCCCATGTGCCATACTCCAAGGCAGAGATGCTCCAAGGTCATTGTTTCCTTTTTCACTGAGGAATTTTTCTAGTGTATTTTCAAACCTCAGATGGTCCAGCCACTACAGCAGACTTTCCCACTACAAAAAGACTATCTATCTTCTCGCCTCCTGTCTAGAGCTCCCTGTGGAGCTTTTTAAATCTTTTTCCTTTTTATATCTTCTTTGAACTCTCAAAATCTTCACTTCTCACTTCAGTCCCTCTGCCCTACTTGCAGCATTTCTGGATCTTCAGTCCTTTCTTTTCAGGAAGGTAAGAAATATTTAGCATTCCTAGCTTGTTCCTGCTGAAATAAATGACTGGTTAAGATTTTGTGGTCAGCTATTGCCACTACTTTGACATAACACAGTCTTTGCTAGCAGTATTTGGCACATACTCACAGAGATTATCCAAGATTATAATAGGTTCATACTAGGAGCATCAGAAGATTGAGTTCGTTAATGGGTGGTTTGAACACTCAGTTCATCATTGGAGTGAACAGAAATGGGAACTTTCTGCCGGTTATATGACACAGTTGTATGAATACATCCAAGATTTTACCAGGACAACAGCCATTCAAATTCTCTTACAAATCTTGTCTCAGCTTTTTATCTGCAATAACTTGTAGATTTAAGTTCTACATCTCTTTGCTTTCACGAGCAAACTGAAACAGATAGAACTATGTTTATTTTTCCTTAAGAAGGTATGATTAACAAGAGATCATTTTGCTGTCTGCAACTGCCTGATGGGAGAGTGGAGACGTAATGAAGCCAAACACTTCTTGTAAGAGCACAGGAAATAGGCCAATTATTCTTCAATAATCACACTAAAATTAAAAAAATAATAATAATGCGAAAATCAAAAGAAACATTAGGAATTTTTTTTTTTTTTTTCTCCATACCAGCATGTCAAATCCCCATCCTTAAAGATACTTAAAGCTTGATTGAAAGAGGTCATGTGCAGCAGCTGGATCTACTTTCAGGAAGGTTCAGCCTTTCAATATCTAAAGAGGGTCTATAGGAAAAAAGGGGACAGACTCTTTAGCAGGGTCTGTGGTGATAGAATGAAGGGAAATGGCTTCATGTTTAAAGAGGGTAGATATAGGTTAGACATAAGGAAAAAAATCTTCTATAGTGAGGATGGTGAAGCATTGGAACAGGTTGCCCAGTGATGTGGTGGATGTCCCATCCTTGGAGACTTTCAAGGCAAGGCTGCATCAGGCCCTGGGCAACCTGATCTATCTGTGGTGTCTCTGTTCATTGCAGAGTGGACCAGATGGGAGTTGGACCAGATGGCTTTTAAAGGTCCCTTCCAGCTCAAAGTATTCTACGATTCTAAGATTGAACTACATACCTTCATGGACTTCTTCCAACCTAAATTATTCTGTGATAACGTTTTTCTGCATTCATTTTTTTTCAGTATAAGTGTATGGGAACTGTATGATCACCTGAGGAAAGCAATGAGTCAGGGATGGGAGCACAGGTGAAGGCAGTTCACCTGTGCTGCTGGAAGGGGAGGAGCCTGGCTCCTTCTCTCCTAGACCCATTTAAGAGCTACTTTTCCACCAGTAGGAAAGGATCTCTTCTGGAGATCTCTCCTCTGGAGTTTTGCAGTGAGCCTAGGACATGGGTAAGCTTTCTATCTATTCTCTTTTTGTTATTATAATCTGCTTTGCCAAACTCTCTTGTTTCTTTCATAATTATAACATCTTTGTATTCACTGACTGTACAGTAAGGCACTTCTGTTTTCTTTAACTACATGTGAGCTAGTTGTAGGTCCCAGTTCATGCCTAGATAGCCTTGAGTATGCCATAAACTGGTAGATACCTACTTCAGACTGGATGTTAGCTAGAAATCTGAATGTAAAATGTAATGTTTGCACTGCTCTTTAATATGCAGAATTTGGTTGATATGGACGAATCTACTGCAGCAAAACAACTTTATATAATTTTCTCTACCATACATTTCATTGAAAGAATACCTATTTTAATGTTACTGAACCAGCTTACAAATGAGCAAATCAGTGGTTTTTTTTATCTTTTCATTTTCTTGTTTAATGTTGTGCCAAAGCATTTTACAAAATGTTTTAATCAAATACAGAAGCTTGTATAACTCTTAAGATCAATAGTGTGCATTTTCCAATACTTTACTTGCTACTGTGTTAACAAATACTGAAGTGTTAATTAGAGGAATACATTATGTGACATAGACCCTAAATATATATTTCACTAAATAAGAATGTAGGATTTTTTCCCTCAGAATTATGAAGCACGGAGGAAAAAAAAAATACTGTGCAATAAAGAATGGTATAGATTAACTACAAGGCAGCATTTTTCATAGATTCATAGATTTTTAGGTACCAATGACACCTATATCAACGTCTCAGCTGCTCTGCAACTTAAGATGTCATCAGATTTTTGCCTACTGACTCTTGCACAGATCTGACAACCAGTGGTTCAGATAAGACATGTGTCTTCAAAGTCTATCCAGGCATAATTTAAGAACTCTACAGAAAATGATATGTGTGATAGAAAACCAACCATATAATTAGTTAAATTTTTCTAGTGATAAGCTATTTTCACAGTAAAAAGGTAAAGGATTTTTGTCATGCTTGAATATCTGTAGCTCTCTGTCAAAGCACTGAAGGGATAGATGTAGGCATTTGATCCAAAATGGAATATGAGTTAATACTGTCTAACTATCCTTTACTGCATAGCCCATCATTCAAGCTCTCAGCTGGGAATGAAAGCTCAAGGTTTAATATTCTCATCTTGGTGAGAGTGTTCTGCATATTTTACAGAAGAGAACTTGCAGCCTTTCCAAGCAGTGATGTGTATTAAGACAATGTGAGAGGAAAAAGTAAAAATAACTCCATAAATTAGGGATTAGAAACTAACCTAGAATGCCAGGATTTAAATCCTAATTTCAATGAATATGTAAGCACCATGAATGAAGGCAAGTGGAGAACTGTAATTCGGATAACTTTAAAGACAGGCATAGCATAATTGCACATTGCAAGTTAACTGAGATACACTTGTGAGTAATGAGAGAGATGGGATTGAATCACCACAGGTAGAGAAGAAAATTGAATTACCTGCCCTAATTCTTGGTTACCTGAAACACTGGATTATTGGATAAAATACAGGAAATGTTTCTTCCTTAGATATGGCCAATTGGTGTCCTCAGAATTTAAACTAGGCCTAGACAGCAATTTATCTCAAAACCAGTTGGTTTCTTTTTGCAGGTAGGGAAAGTAAGACCAATTATTTCTATCTATGTTGAAATGTGGAAGCTTTCATCACGAAGCAGAAATTGCAGAAAATAGATATATTCAGCTGAAATTTAGACCAGGTTTGATAAAGAGTGTTAAAAAGTCTTGCAAAGAAGATAAAGCTTTGATAATATAGTCTGACAGTGATTTTTTTTTTTTTTTTTCTCTCTATTATTAGTCAAGTTCAACATCATAGGTTTCAGGCTTTTTTTTCCTCTCCCTGATGTAATTTTTGCACAGTCCATTCAGTAGAAATCCTCATGAGGAAAGCCCTTCCTTTGCACAAGGTATGGAAAATGCAGATGAATTAACAGGATCGTTCTTAATATAGATCTTAGAACTCAAATGAATATTGTGCTAATCATTTAAGAGAATGGCCAGTTTAAGAGAATATTCAGTATATAGTTCTTACTTATGTATAGGACCAAAGGAAAAGAACTTAGACAAATTTCTGAAAGATTTTTATTTTCAACACTTTTTATAACTGTAAAGGAGAAGGCAAAGATGGGCTATTTATATTTACCAAAATTTATTTTCTACTTAACATGAACGTACTCTAAATACTCAGTATACTTCATTATATTTGAAAATAAAATACAGTTTTCAACAGAACTTATATGCTGAAGTATATGTTTAGTGAGTTGAAATGGCATTTAGTAAAAAATAAATACAATCTACTTTGCCTTACTGCTGTATATGTATTCAAATCTTAACAGAAGTATTCTGGACTGAATAACCTTTCAGAAGTGCAATGTGCATGGAATTCATAGGCAAGAAGAATTTCAAATCTTTAAAGAATGAACATAAAATCTGAGATTTTTGCAGAAGTCTTAGATATTGCAGTTACCCCAAATTTGGTCTAACATATAGACACACATACACACTCACACAATTCTCTATATCCTTGCATAATGTACATACATGTATATACCATATCTATATACAATTGAATGTAGCAAAATTGATTACCTTTCTTACACTGACCACTCCATAGAATATGCTAATGGCCCTTAAATTTCTGCTCTAAAAATCTAAAATGTTAAGAAATTACACTTGTAACTTTTTTAAAGTATGTTTTTCAGAGCCAGCTAACATTTGAATGGGGCCATTTATTTTTTTTTTTTTTCCGCAACATCTTAATGCGTTCAGACAAAATAATAAGAAATAAAAGAGAGGTAATGGACCATAGATTGTTGTCCAATTAGAAAACAAAAATGTAGAATCCTCTTACTAGAAAACATAAGAAAATATTATATTATTTGTTTTTCACTGAGGTTTTTTTTCTCTTCTAATGCCAAATGTAATACCAGTTGTAATTATTTATTTCCTCTGACCTTTTCTCTAGTATTTAGTGACATTATCATTTTTACTCATCAGGGCAGGATAATTACAAAATGAGTTGATTTAATACAAACAATATTTAAATGAATTAAAATTCAGCTCTAACTTCAGCTGGCTGCCTTCATTTTTACCACTTCTAAAGCCAGAGAGCTGTAATTAACGCTGCTGTGACAGTGACAAGGAAGAATCCTATACAACAGGGAGCAGTTTGCAGATAGAGATTTGGTACCAATTGATTTCCTTACTACTCTTCACAAATTGCACCCTGACATAATACAAAATACTCCACATTCCTTAGTTCAGCCTACATCTGATTGTGTTTAACAAAGATCATTGTAATTATTTCTGTGCAGGTGCCAACAAGTGTACTTTATGTCAATATCAGTGTGTCCTCAATTAACTTTTTCCTAAAGTGCTTTCCTGTAAAAGTCATATATGAAACCTAGTTTATATTTAAGAATAAAAGCACTCTTACTCAATCAGTAAATTAAACCTAACTGTAAGTAAAAAAAAAAAAAAAAAATCTAGCTAATCAACTGATACCATTAATTACCTATTAATATCACTGATTGCCCTATTAATTTCTCTACAAAGTCCCTCATTGTATTTTATTGTGTTAATGAATCATTAAAAAAATTAAACTTCACACAGCAACACTAGTCTGTCATTAGCAAAGAACTTTTGATGGTCATCAACTGCAGTCAAGTTTTAAGAGTGGACTCATTATGAGATGAGTTGATTTACCTCACAGTCATAGGGAGTTATCTTCAGCAGTGCTTAAGTCCTACTCTTTGCTGTCCTCGCTATACTGAACTTGTCCTTCTCATACTTTCTCTTTTTATGTAATATAAAAATAAATATTATAGTGGCTGTATTACAGTGGTGAAGTACATAGCTCAGATGTCACTGCATACCTTCAGATACCTTCATCCTACAAAGAACTTAATTTGCATTTTATATTTGTTGATTTGAGACAGAAATAACTCTATTTTGGGGTTGTGCTTAGTCATATTACAGCTATGTAAATATACAAATAAACATCACCCTTCTGATACTATTGGTATTTAGTTTAGCAACGGCTGGGGCAGGGGGGAACCACAACCAAAACCCACAAATCTTAAAACTCCAGAAATAATTTATCCTGCTGGTTCATCATCCTTTAGTGCTGTACTATTGGATCACTGGATCATTGGAGTGAACTATTGGATCACTCAGTATCACTTACATCAATGTTGAATGGAAACCTTTTCTGTTCATCTTCTTCTGGGCTTAAGAATGGACACCTGCTGCCTCATAAATAAGGAATCTGAGATAAGAGAAATACTCAGGCATGTCATACCATCTGCCCAACCTTACTGAAAGCGACTCATACCATGGTATGTTTAAAGGACTTCAGCACCCACTTCAAAACCTCAAAAGTTTGCACAGCTTTGTGCTATGTCATTCTTAAAGGTAGCCAGAACTTATTGTCCCTTTTTTTTTTTTTTTAATCATTTTCTGAATTTGGCACAACCATTTAAGAGTAAAACTCCTGAAGACATTCACAAATAGCCTTCTGTTTCCATTCAAGCTTTGTGGAGCATCTGCTCTCCTCTTTTCAAGAGCAGCTGGGCCTTAAGCTTGTAATCATGTTCCAGATATAACAACTTGAGCATCAGTGATTACCTTCTGAGGCGAAGAAGTAATTGAGAAACTATATTCACTGTGCTTGTTCAGCAGTTATTACATCATAATTGTTCCACAAACTCCATGTCTTTTCTCAGCTTATCAAAATTTATGGCAGTTTAAGGCAATTTTGACTTAACACCAAAAAAAAAAAAGGAAATCTGATGCTGTTTCACACCTTTATTTCATAGGCTCTTTGGATTCACAGAAATCTATTCAAGTCTGTTTACTTCCTGTTCTGAGGCAACCTTCAAACACTGATCCCAAATGTAATGCTCATTCAGGGGTAGAACAGACCAGCAATCTGCATATATTGCTTGACCATGGAAGTTTTGGTTAACCTTGGTGTACTTTGCATAGCCATTTTCTGAAGCCAAAGAACAACTTATTAGTGGCTGTAAGTCTCATCAGGGGAAATTCTGGTTGTATATTAGGAAAAAAGTATTCTCAGGAGTGGTAAGGTACTGGCACAGGCTGCCCAGGGAAGCAGTGGAGACAACATCTACTGTTGAATCTTGAACCTCTGATTGATCACCTGAAGTGAGCAATGAGTCAGCCATGGGAGCACAGGTGAAGGCAATTCACCTGTGCTGCTGGAAGGTGTGGAGCCTGGCTCCAGCTCTCCTAGACCCATTTAAGAGCTGACTGCCAGTGGGGAAGGATCTCTTCTGGAGATCCACTCTGCTGGAGTTTCACAAGTGAGCCCAGGATACGGGTAAGCATCCTATCTTTTCTGCTTTGGTGTAATAACTGTGTAGCCAAGTTGTCTGCTATACCTCATAAATGTAACGTCTGTGCATTCATTGATTGTACACCATCACTGGAGATGTTCAGGAAATGTGGCACTGAGTGACATTGTTTAGTGGTATGATGGTGATAGATTGATGGTTGGATTAGATGATCTTAATGGTCTTTCTAGCCTTAATGATTCCATGTGGTTCTTTGAACTTGGCAGGTAAGACCGTAACCCATATGGAAGGAGAGAGAAGAATACTGGATGTGGCTGTGTTATCTTGAATGAGAGTGATGTGTCAACTGATGGTAGTTAGCTGTGAAACAAAAGGTGGACATTATGCAGTTAAGGTAGGAAAGCTGAACAATACCTGAAGGTAATGTAAAGCTGCAGAAAATGGCTTGATGGGAATGACTGAGACATGAGGCAGAAACCATTCTGTAAATTGGAAATTGTGAGTCGTTAATGATGCATATTGTTCACTTTACAAATTAAATTAATTGTGTTAAAAGTTCATGCTTGTGAGTCAAGTAATTTTTCAGAGTGTGCATCATATTTAGAACCATTAAGAAATTTCAGTGGATGGAAAGTGAGCTGTTACTTGATGATTATGCCTTTTGCCTAAGAAACCTAAATTAAATTTTTAAAATGTCAGGCAAATTACCCATGTGTGCATTTCTGAAGCACAAAAACCTTTAAAGGATGTTATTTCTTCATCTGGTAAGACCTGCTATCCCTGAAAATACACACACGCCATGGTACAGCATCTGGCTTTTCAAACATTAAAAGCTCCTGAAACTTCTCAGAGGATAAAGTCATTATGAGGTGTATTTTAAAATTAATCCAATACATTAAGCGAGAGCTTATTCAATTCAATTTGCATTTTTTTCTTGTCCATAGCTATGAAAGAGAATAGTATTGCTTTTGCTCTCTGTTCATTAGCTACTGCACTGCAAGCAGCAAATATATAACGTTATCTTAACAAGTTTTTTTTTCTTTCCAGCATTATTTATGTTATATATATTCCTATTTATGTTAGTACACAGGAAATACAGTCTTTGAATGTTTGGTGCTTTACTCATGTATTATATTTTTTTTGATACAGAAAATGTATGTACATGACAGATGTTATTTTTGAGGAATGTATTTTGTTGTGTTCTTGTTTTGTATCAATTTCACTCTGTAGACCCGGATGTTTCAGCTCCTTTAGGTGATATCATGGTTTCAATTTAGAAGACAGAGTGTTTTTTTTGTTTTTTTTTTGTTTTTTTTTTAACCTGAAAGTTGAGGAAAACTTTCTCTAAATTTGTCGTTTATATGCTGGATGGGGCCCTGGGCAGCCTGGCCTAGTGGATGGCAACTCAGCCCATGGTAGAGGGACTGGAACTGGGTGATCTTTGAGATATCTTCTGACCTGAGCCATTCTATGATTTCTGCTTAGGCATTGAAATTAGCTGCCAGGAGAGTTTGTGAAATTGCTTTGGAAGTATACAGAACATTAAACTGGGAAAGCTTACAGGACATGAAATCAATTCTATGTCAGGGAGTCAATGAAAGCTTCCACCAAAGTACAGAAGTACAGCTCTTGGTTCACTTCTGCTGCTGGTGCTTCTTTAAAATCCCCAAGTCACAGTCTCTGTGGAAATACTTTTGTATATATAGATATATATAGATAGATAGATATGGAGTGTTGCCTTTTCTGACTTCAAACCTGCTTCTATTCTAATTTAATTCCCAGAATCCCAATGCTTGCCTGTTTCTCCCTGGCCCTATGAACAAGAGGCAGAGTGTAGGTTTTATAAGCAACAGGAGTAAAATCAAATTTCTATGGCAAAGAGGGGAGAGAAAAAAAAAAAGATACTGAGCGCATCCCAGAGTGAAGAGTCCTTGAGGCAACTGCCAGAACAGCAAGGTGGAAGAGGACCTTTTTGATGAATTTTGAACAGTTAGGATGAATTGCCTTTGAAGCTCATTGAAACATTTTCAAATACATACACTGGCATGAAGTCTTCTGAACCTTCAGGAAACCCCTCTGTCAATGGTGCCCAACATCCATGGGCCAATGGGAGCAGTCTGGCAAGCAACACAATACAATGTCTCTCTGTGTCCTTTACAAAAATTTCTTTGACTTTCTTGTGATTATGAACAGCATTGGCCTAAAGGAACATTTGAGTTCACTACAAAACCAGCATTTCTATTTATGTGTGAAGCAACTGTTATTTCAAAACAGTTTTCTGCTTTGCAGCAGTGATTCACAGAAAATAGATGGGTGGAAGACTATAAATATGTATGCTGAAATGAGTCTGTCTCACCATCTCATTTCAAAATTAAAGCATGCTGCTTTATAAAAGAATAGGCACTAAAGGAAAGTCCAAGATATTGGATAATGGAAGCTCACCTCTTTATTCAAAAATGGACCTAAGCAGTCAATACTGTGATGCTTCTGTGATATAGAAGTTTTGAACAAAGGTGCATTACCTTAAATATAATTTAGTGTGATTTTTGGCAAAAAAATTCCTAACATGCTGGAAAGTGGTGGTATTGGTTGTCACTATGTGAATAGGTGCTAGGGTGTTGATTTTGATTCAGTCTTGTGTTGTATTGCCTCCAACCATCTTGTCAGATAAAAAGACAGATACTGGGGTTATAGCAGTCTTAGGATTAAACACACCTCTCATCCTCATGCTGTTTTATAAATGCCTAGATCTGAGAAGGCGTGGATTTGATTTTATTTTCGCCCATGTCTGTATTGAGTATGTTAAGGGGAAGACAAAATATTTTCCTGGTTTGCTTCAGAAAATGGTTGACTTATTCAAATAACAACTGCTATAGGCAGACTTTAATGGTAACTGTTTCAAAAGTTTTATTTTTTTTCCCTGATATGTTTTGAATGGTTTGTGCTTTTTATGCATTCACAGATTCATTTTTACAACTATTGTAACAGATTTTCACAGAAATTAGTACTATATTAGTATTGATTAGTAGCAAATGCAATGCCATATGTAAGCAGCATGCTGACTGCTCCCAAACAGATAACTATTCTCTATAGGAAAACAAGGGAAATATAAAAACAAGTTTCTGTACACTACTGCACAAGTGTTGGTGCTCTTAAGCTTTCTGAATATTGATTGAAAAGGAGAATCTGGGTTTGTGGAGCCTCACCAGCTTCCTGCTCTGATGCAAATAACCTGAATGACCTTGGCACCACATTGAGCATCCCTGCTTTCACCTAAAGAGTAGAGTAGTAACAGACTTGAGGCCAGGTGTGCAGTAACATAGCTTACACAGTCACCTTCTGTCTTATCAATATTATCTGGAGGGAATACAGATACTACTGCATGACAATATTCTTTTTCCCCATTGCTCTACGCACTATCCTAGGATGAAGTAGACAGTTTCAGAAACCAATGAAATTTAGGAACTAATTACCACAGTTTTTTGTGGAGCCTCCCCATCTGATGCCTTTGACTTTGTAGGATGCTTGCTGTACTTATTCAGAAACATTTGGTTTGTTTGTTGTTTTTTTTTTTTTTTTTTTTAATTTAAAATCAGACTCTGTATGATCTCCAGCTGATGCATGAGAAGGACAGAGGAATCATGTCAGCTCACACCAATCAACCCCACATGAAAATCTCAGATTAGATAAAATTACATGCATACAGTTACCATAACAGCCAGTAGCTGAATTTAAATTTAAGATTTCTCTTAACTTTAGGAACTTCTAGCAGTTGCTAAATCCCTTTAAATGCTAGTGTTATTGGTCAACTCGACCCAGATGGATATAAGGTGAATTTAATGGAATTAAATATATTTTTAGGCAGCTGTGTTACATGACAACTTTATAAAAGTTAGCAGCAGGATTCAGCTTGCTGTTTGAAATTCAGAATGTAGGAATTTACATGTGGGTAGGGTGATTACTACATTGAGTGTACTACCAACATCCAACAAGAGGGTGTTAGAGACTTGAAGCAGATTTCTCCATTCAGTCAGATGAGTTTCTCTCTGCATGTCAGTGGGTAAGTTGACAGAGGGCTTCATAAAATTGCTGAGATATCAGTGTTTATGAGGTGGTTTCTCAGGCTGGTGGCTGTGATACCAGAACTTAATAACAAATACAATTTGTTAGAATCCAGGCTAAAAATAAAATCAGAGTTTTGATATCTTCATTATGTCTTAATCTATAACAGCATGTATGAGTGAAAATAATGATTATCAAAGACAATGGGATCAGAATATAGCTTTGCTGACTTCAGTTAATAATCTGTTTTATCGCAGGTAAATCTACAAAATAAGATATCTTTTTCTTTTTGTATCTGAAAAAATAAAGTGAAATTCAGTTCAGAAGAATTTAATTAGTCAGGTACAAATTAATATTAATAATTTTTAGAATTATGCTTTGTTTATTAGTATCACTAGAAATACTGCAAAAGACTGCATTTGAAGTGGTATGAACACCAGAAAATACAAAAGTTCCTTAATGGTACTTCCATAGAACAGGCTTACTGCAGTCTCCTTGAAACAGAGAAGCAGAAGGGACATTCCAAAGAGTAATTATTCTATGCCTTCAAGACAGTACTTTCAACTCCTACTGAGGTTACAGGTATAAGCTACTGTTAGATCCAGGACACTGATTAGGGGTGATTTCTCAAAAATATTTAAATTTAGCTGTTCTGTCATTCTGTAAATGGCATAGACTTCAAAGGTCTCATTTCTATGGTACCCTTTGAACATCTCTCATTCATACTAACCTTATTTATCACTATGGAAAATACTGGTAGGGCATGATAGTCTTGATATGATGTGGTTGGATTCATTTTTCCATCCATAGCTAGCCATCACTCTATCTAACTTCATTAAGCAGGCTTTCTGTTGAGTTAAACGGTAAGATCTGTGTGGTTGCTACTCTATTTTGCATTAATTTGATTTTCCTCTACCTGGTTCTATAAATTGGCATTCCTGTGTGTAAATCACAAATCTATTCACTACTCTGCATTATATTGTTCTTAGATCAGTATTTAAAGGCTTGCCTTCAATCCAGTAGTGTTATTTCATGCTTGGTGAACTGGACCAAGAATATGAAGAGGTCAGTGCTCCCAGAGGTGAGGTAGAAGCATAAGAAAATTTTGGAAAATAGCATTGGAATATAGCAATATATGTCTATTTCTAAGAGACCAACTGAGAATACAGGACTGGAAAACAGAGACCTAGGTTAAGGAGCTGAAAGTGGATTAAGAGAAAATCAGCGACTAAAGGAAAAAAAAAAAAAAAAACACAAAAAAAACCTATTTCTGGCAGTGCCTCTGCCAGCAATCCTTATAATAAAGAATTAGATGAGATTCTGTTTGAGATGCCACATTCAAACTGCATTTCATGGGAGATAATGCCAAAAGCAATGAAGATATGAGACTTCTATAATTCTCATTCTGAGAACATCTCTCAGGACAAGATAGGATGAGAGGGAATGGCCTCTAGTTGCATCAGAGGAGGTTCAGGTTGGATGTTAGGAAAAACTTATTCTCTGAAAGAGTGTCTGCACGTTGGAACAATCTGTGCAGAGAGGTAGTGAGGTCACTGTCCCTGGAGCTGTTTCAAGAAACTGTGGGGTTTAGGGACATGATTTTAGGCAACTTTGGTTGTAGGTGGATGGTTGGACTGGATGATTTTACAGGTCTTTTCTGAGCTTAATGATTCTAGATTCTTTGAAACACAATGGAAAGGCAAATAGTTGAGGACACTGAGTTGAAGATATCAGTTGGATACTCACAGTGGAAGTTCTATGGAGGGCATTACAAAAAGACTGTATTTCTCACTTGGCCACTAGAAGAACTTACTAAATTACTTTTTTAAACTTATGGACACAGGTAACATTAGTTTTGTTAGGCATAGCTAATATTAGATTATGATGAGTCCTTCTGCGTTGAGCCACCCTATTACACATATATCCGAATTTCAGTCTACTGTGCCCTGTCCCCCACCTTCCCTGAAACACTGCATATTTCAGTGATATAATCTTAACTAGAAACACATATGCCAACTGCATACTGTAAAAGCTAGGTGCCATTCAAATTAATTTTCCTTATCATTTGGTAAGTGCTTTACTTGAAGAAACAGGTTTCACAGAATTTCTTTTTGAGATGCTATTCAAAGCATTGTATCACAGAAGTGCAAGAGGTATATTCTAGAGTATTTTATCTTTGCATATGATAAGGTATGTTTCAGACAATGGCATCATATCACTGTGTGGGTTGTGATAACATTTTATCATATAATTCAACATATGCACAGCTCTTTAGCAGGGGGTGAATTCTTTGGGGGAAATATTTCAGTATAAGTTTGAACACAAGTGAAAGTACAGAGATGTAGTAGATTATGAATGAGGAAGGAATCTGCTAAGCCTTCTTCTGAGTAAATGTATCACAGATATTTGTGGGAAATATGAAGTACAATAAAAGCCAGAGCAGTTCATTACAGTGGGTGTTCCATTACAAGAACTGCAAAGAACAAATGCCTTGATGGACTACTTTTTCCGCACAGGCAAGCCATACAGGAGTATCCCTAAGGGACCATTTTAGTTGCTGGCAAGCCAGGTAACTTTTAGTCATCTCCCAAGCTTCCTTTAAAAAAAAAAAAAGTGTTGTTTTGGTCCCATTGATCAGAGATTTGTTCTGCCACCAAAGCTTTATTTTCTCCTGAAAATAGCTGCCATAAATTCCAGACGGACAATTTGCTATGTAAAGCAGCTTTGTAGTTCCATTCCACCCATTTTCCATGTCAAAAATAATAAAGTGGCATTGGAAAACTGATGGAGAAAAAAAATCACATTTTCATTTGCTGATTTTCTTGATAATCGGTGTCATTTTTGCTTCTGAAATGTATTGTCTTTAGGCAATGTCTAGCAGCAGAACTGCTGAGAATTTAGCCAACAGGAATACTCAGTTTTCCAGAAGTCTGTCCTTGGCTCTTTAAGCTTCATTCCTGCACAGAGCCCAAGCCTGCAATGTAAGCAGATAAACAAGTTTAAAAATCATACTAAAAAGTCCTCAAGTTTAAGGAGACCTTTTACCACAATATTTCAACAGTTTGCTAGAAGATAAACTGCTGAAGGGCTGGAAAATGAAAAAATAAATAAAATAAAATAAAAAAAAAAATGAAAATAGATGCGTCTCTGAAATTCTGTTGTTCTATTAGCTGCTGTATAGTTTAAAACTTCTGGTTTTAATGGAAAGATAAATTAGAGCTAAAGATAGAACTAGAAATAGAAAGTAATTAGCTTTACATATTTGCACGTTTGCACTTATAAATAGTGATTATGCTGAAATGTGATCAACTGTATTTTTATGAATGCTTCAAATGAAGTGTGTTATACAGACAAGCAAAATATATTTCCAAGCATAATAGTGGAGTTCCTTAGAGGAGGAAAAAAACAAAAAAAAACCACACACATAAAAATAACTATGAAATAGCTGATGAAGTACTCAGGAAATATCTTCTTAAGCTTTGATGAAATATTACATAAAGATTAAAGAAAATATTCCAACTCTAAGTTTAATAAAATATAAGATTAAGATCACAAAAATGGTCCCTATGAAAATAGCTTAAAATATGACATGAAACTATTTCATTATATTGCATAGAATATTAATGAAATTTTATTCCTCAAACATTGTAATATTCATGAAGTTTCATAGGAATCATTCCCATATGGGCCAGTAGCTTCCCTTTTTAAATCAAACTGCCAGACCTCTCCATATTCTTATTTCAGCTATTACCTACCATAGTAGAGTGGCTTTATCTGGCTTGCTTAATCACAGAACACTTTGCATTCAGGGATAACTTGTGTAATATGTCAAGTCCACCCCTGTTCCCTAGACCATCTGCATATTGCATCTCGTCCTTGCTGGCCTGAGGTGTTAAGGGTCCACTGAGCCAGAGATAATTCACTCTGATTTTATCAGCCCAGATCTACTTGGTCTTAGCTGCCTGATCTACCTGCTGGTTGTTTTGATGTTCTTCAGTGGCACAGTTTGGATATGTGGGCATCTAAGTATTGTACCTTTACAACTATGTTCTCTACCTGGGCAGCAATATCTTCCCTCAGTGAGACAGCCTAGATGGGTTTGCCTCTGTGCTGTTGGCTGTTCTGTTGCTGTAACCACCCCTCCATAGGGCATTTGCCACCATCCAGGAGTCAGTATAGAGATAGAGCACTTGACTACCTTTCTCATTCAGCACTATGTAAAATTAGCTGAATGGCCTTAACATCTTCAAATTGGCTCTATTTACCTGCCAAAGTGACATATAACATCTTTGAAGGGATACCTTTCCTTCATGCCTGAAAAGAGTCACCTCCAGAGGCTGAAGAGCTTGTGCTCCTTTTTCCCATAGTTTGTCAGTGCTCCCTTTGTAGAG